AGGGTGTCATCCCCAATTTGGTGGTTTCAAGAAAGCCTAGGGACAGTCCCATACCATAAGGAATAGGCCACATCCCTTCAGAACACCAGGTACTCCTGTCCCTAAAGATACTACTTATGATCGTTGGAGCACAGAGTTCAATTCTGACTTTTGTTTGTTCCTTTTCTTTTTCTTTTTTGACTCAAGAGCTCATGTAGTCCAGGGTGGTTTTGAACTCCTGATCTTCCTAAGTGTTGGGATCACAGGTGTGCATGCTCAACCCTCTTTTATGTGTTTTCTATTTTCCCTTGAGATTTTGCAGACATAAGTCACATTTATGTTTCATTTCCAGGCTCCTCTGCCTCTCGAATGGAAAGGTGTCTGATTTTTTTCTTTCTTTTTAGCCCAGCTTATTTATTCACACAGGCCCTTGTGAGGCCTCTGATCGGGATGGATGTGCCAGGCCCTTGGGAGGCCTCTGATCGGGATGGATGTACCACAGCACACACTTTTATTTGGCTCTGGGAGAGCATCCCAGCCTCTCAGTGTATACTCAATACTGACTTTTCGAGAAGCCAGTTGTGTCAACAGCTTCATTTATGGGACACAGAGCTCCATTTACTCTGTTCCAGGCACACCCATTCAAGGTCTGCCTCCTCACAGAATGATTTAAGTTATCCTTACAGCAGCTCTAGGAACTCAATACTGGAAAGACCCGTGTACAAAAGACCTTGTCCAAGGTCATAGAGGGTTTTAGCAGAGATTGGATTTGAACCCAGGCACTTGGCTTCAGGGTCTACAAACCAAAGCCTCTTTTTCTCTTTTCCTTTCTTCCTTCCTTCCTTCCTTCCTTCCTTCCTTCCTTCCTTTCTTCCTTCCTTCCTTCTTTCCTTCCTTCCTCCCTCCCTTCCTTCCTTTCTTTTTTATGGGTTTTCAAGACAGGGTTTCTCTGTGTAGCTTTGGAGTTTGTCCTGGAACTCACTCTGTAGACCAAGCTGGTCTCAAACTCACAGGGATCCCCCAGTTTCTGCCTCCTGAGTGTTGGGATTAAAGGTGTGTGTCACCACTGATCAGCCCCAACCCTCTTTTTCTATGGTGACCCAGGACATCCCCTTTTCATAGTTCAGATGTGAAAACCACCCAGAGAGGATATGGGTTTTGCCTGAAGTCACATAACAATTGTGGGGACATCTAGAGCCAGGCTGATCTTAACTGAAACCCGGACTCCTTGATGCTCCTGGAGGGACTCTGGCCACCACTCTGCCATCCTCCGTCTTTCCTCTGCCCTCTAGGTCACGTTTAGCTTTTACATCTCCTCCACGCTGCCCCTCCCCATCTCTCACCTACAGTGTCTAAAATTCCTTCTTCACAGCTCTCAATATATATATATCCCCCTCTCAAAACCACTTTGAGGGCTCGAGAGGTGACTCCATCGCTAACAGGCTTGCCATGCAGGTGTGAGGACCTGAGTTTGAACCTCAGAACTCCAGTGCTGGGAAGGTGGAGGCAGGACGCCTGAGCTCAAGAGCCAGCAAGTCTAGCCAAACAGCGATGTCCAGGTGCAGAAAGCGACCCTGACTCACAGAATAAGGAGGAGAACAACTAAGGAAGGTCCCGACATTGACCTCAGTATCTGCACACACATGCACATGCACAGGAAAACTTATATCACACATGCTCACACAGACTATTTTGGACCCTAAGCCGGGATGCCATCCTTTTTAAGAGAATCTGACAACTGTCTGATACACTATCCTATACTTTTTGCCAGGGATGCTAGGAAGCTCAGTGTTACAGCCACGGTTTAGGTGTAAACTCCCTCTGAAGCCTTGATTCTGTAGTGTCTTTTTTCTCCTTCTTCCTCCCTCTTTTCCTCCCCTCTCTCCCTCCCTTTCCTTTTCCTTCCTCTACTGGGGATGGAATCCAAGACTTCATGAGAGCTAGGGACATACTTTACCCCTTAACTACATCTCCGCCCCCTTTTTGTTTTTCTGAAGCGTTCTCACTGTGTTACCCAGGCTGAATTCAAACTCACAGCAATCCTCCTGCCTCAGGTTTCCTAGTGCTAGGATTACAGGCATAAATCCTGGTGCCCAGATAATCCCTGCAGTCTCCACTTTGATGCCAACCCTAAAGCACTTTTATGTCTGGGGCCTTCTTGAGCAGGATCTATTAAGTACAGGAGTTACCAGATCATGCACAGCGTGAATGAGTGAGCCCTGGGTACCGCAAATAAATTATGCATGTGCGGGAATGAATTAGGACAGACTCATGAATAAATTATGCAAATAGAGGCAGCTGTCATAGAATTGTGGGAAATAAATTAACTAAATGTTGTAAAGGAAGCTGAGGACAGGCAGGGGTGCAGGTAAAGACACTGGACGCGAAAGAGGTGGAGAATTGTGGGAATCTGGGTGTGAGCCAGGCAGCTGTGAGTTTCAAGTTTGTCTCATTGAGGAAATAAATTATGCAAAGTGGACACCAGCCTCTGTCGGTGCCCCTGCCAATTGGATGGGAGTATAAACTACAATGAATCTGAACTGAAGATGAATAATAAATGAGCCATGCAAACTGCCTGTCTCTCTGGCCCTACGGAGAGAGATAAATTATGCAGATGCGGGTACCGCAGATGCCAGTCCGTGGATATATTATGTAAATGTACCAAGTTACTCAGATCGATTAGCGCTGTCAGAACACAGGGGGCGGGGGAGGGGCTGGCCTATGCAAGTGTAGTGTGAATTATGCAAATAACGATGTCTTATTGCAAAGTCAGGAATAAATTATGTAAAAGAAGTGCTCTCAGGTAACTATGTGGCAAGCTGAGGCATGTCTTCTATGGACCTTGGGCTCTGTTAGCCCATGCATGGCTTTGGGAATTACCTTCTGGGTGGGCACAGCACTCTCTATTTGCACCTGTATCTCTGACTTGTTGTCTTCAGCTCAGCCCCTTGGTGCAAAGTGTGACTGACACAGCTGTATCTGTCACAGTGCGCGCACGCGCGCGCGCGCACACACACACACACACACACACAAACTTGCACTCGCAGACACTCCAAGCCACCAGCTCCCCTGGGGTGTTGGTCTTTACTCACCTGGACCACACCTGGGGAGAAAACTGCTAGGATGAGATAAAGCCAGACGTAGGCAAAGATGCTCCAGGAGGCTGTGACGAAGAAGACCCTCAGATGCTTGATCTTACGGCTCTCGCCAGCCGGGATGACATAGACACACACAGCAATGACCACAAACATGTTGAAGGCTGCACTGCCCACGATGGTGCCGGGACCCAGTTCACCCGCCTGGAAGTTGTGGCCACAGACCTCGATGACAGACAGCAGAATCTCAGGCGCCGAGGAGCCCAGGGCCATGAGTGTGAGGTTGGACACTGTTTCATTCCAGATGCGCACGGTGCCCACGCTGGTCTCCCCGTTGGCCTTGGTGATGGTAATCTCCTTCTCCTTAGATGTGATGACCTCAATAGATGCCATAAAGCGGTCGGCAATGATGGATACGCCGAGGAACATGTAGACCATGGCCACAAAGTACACCACGGCCCTTGCGGCCTTGTCTCCCAGCGATGGGTCGTCGGGTTCCCACACAGGCAGCAGCACCCCTGGCTGGCAGCGGTAGGAACCCTGGCAGCCGCCTGAGCTGGCATCACTGTCGTTAGCAGGGGGAGGTGGCAAGGAAGGGGTTGGAGTGGCCTCCCCCAAACAGTGGGGTGCCCCCAGAAGGAGCACAACCCCCACCAAGGCCAAAGCAGCCATGGGGGTGGTAGAGTCCTGAGGGAAGGAGTAGAAGATCAGAGTGGATCAGATAGCTCCCTGTCACTTAAACGGCCCCATGTGGGCTAGGGGCGTGACTCAGGTGCAGAGCCCCTGCCTAGAATCCCCCACTGAGGGGCTGGGGTGTGGCTCAGAGACAGAGCACCTGCCTAGTATCCCCCAGTGAGGGACTTGGGATTGGACTCACTGATAGTCCACCTACCTAGCATGTAGAAGGCTCTGGGTCTCATCACCAGCACTGTCAAACAATAAAGTCCCAGCTTGTTAGGCCACAACACAGGGGTGAACTGGGAACCAGCTCAGGAGACAAGGAGACTCAGGGAAACACAGAGAGATCATCACATGGGTACCCAGAGGAAAAGACACAGGAATGCCAGGACAGAGGGGCCTCGTAAAATGCTAGAAACATAACTGAATCCAAATAGTTTGGGAGCCTGCAGCCAACCATCACATACTCTATGATTCAGCAGCTCTCCTCCTAGGACAGGCTTATAAGCCTGTCTCACCAAAGGTCCCCAGGAGAATGTCCACATCAGCTTTATCTATAACAGGGCCAACCTTGAAACAACCCAGAGGTCCCTCAACTGCAGAAACAGCAATGGAGTAGTATACTGCCGTACGGAGGGTGAGAGCTATGGCGGGAGGTGATGACAGAGGGACTGGATCCTGAGACAGGGGGCTGAGTGAAGGATGCCAGGCACAAAGAACACCATGAGGCCTCTGTGGGAGTCCAGAGCTGGGGCACAGGAGTGCACTGGGCAGTTCTATTCATTTCACCTTGGCCCTTGAGGGGGCTGTGGTAGGTTCTGGGTCTGAGTGGCTATTTTTGTCTTTCTGTGTTTATGTTTTATTACATTTTATTGATTTGGGAGGGGGTGGTGGTGAGTGTGCCATGGTCAAAGAAGAGGCGTGAAGAGGGAAATGATTGTGCAAAGTTGTTCTCTGACCTCACACATGTACACAAGGGTAAGTTGATAATAAGCACCCATCAGCTCCCATCTGAACGCTCTGCAGCTCCAGTGTCAGAGGACTGAGGCCCCCTTCCTTGCCTCTCTCCCAGCCATTCTACCCTCTGCTGTTCCTTGCACACACCAGGCAAGTTTCTCCCTGGGGGCTTCAAGTCTTGGCCTTCATTATTGTCACTGTCTCTGGCTATCCTCGCCAAGATGACACACCTGCCCTTTGGAGAGGAGTCTTCCACTCAGTTCACAAAGTAGAGGATCAAGACTCAGAGAAGTGAAGCAATTTGTGCAGGTGACCCAGCATCCGCTCTCCCCACAAGAGTGCCCAAGGTCTGAGCTTCCAGGCCCGCCCTCATGTTGCTATGGTAACACAGTTGCCTATTATAGAGAAAAGGCGGGCCAGAGGAGCTGTCACCTAAGCCAGCTGCTTGGGGTTCCTCCAGCCTCAAGTGTCCAAGAATTTCCACCTTCCATGGCAGTCTGAAAAGTTCCTCTGGAAGTCTAACCCACAGCCTGCCCTCGGCTCACACCCACAGACCAGGAGCAGGCTTCTCTGGGGGAGGGAGGCAGCATGTTGGCAGAACTTCCCGAAAAGGAGTGAGCAGTGTGTGCGCGCGCGTGCGTGTGTGTGTGTGTGTGTGTGTGTGTGTGTGTGCGTGCTGTGTGGGGGAGGGGTGACTCTTTTAAAGGGCCACCGCACAGTTAGGCCCCCAGGCAAGGCCCCTAATGATATATTTAATTAGCAGCCCCTAATTAGCAAACTCTCAGGCGTAATTATGAACCCACCAGGATCCCAAGCAGACTCCCCTTTGCTCCTCCCTCCTCCCTCTTTGGCTTTTGGGAAACAGGGAAGACCCAGAAAGTCAAGAATCCATCTAGTCACATCTGACTGCTGCTTTTGGGGAGGGTGAAAAACCTGGGAAGTCATCCAGGAAGACCAGGGTCAGTGGACTAGTGTTTGCCTGCCAGGGGCGGGGTCATCCAGTCTATTCAGTCCCTTTGCTGTCATCCAGATTTCCCTCCTCTCTTTCTGGGTCTTGGAAGAGGGACCCAGGAGAGAAAGCACTAGATAAATATTTGTGAAACTCATGGACAAGAGGCCTGAACATTGTCTGTGGCCGGGACAGCCACACTTTCTGCTCCAGGCTTCCTCCTCCGAGCCTTGAAAGCTAATCTGGGTGTAGACTCAGTGGCAAAAGGATCAGGTTGAGTCCAGGAGGAGCGGGGTGGGGGGTGGGTGGGAAGGTGGTAACATCTCAAGGCTCGGAGGCAGTGGTATCCCCAACCTGGTGGGCTGGTGGCCAGCTGGGTTAGTGGTGAGTGTTCTGTCCTGCCTCTGGGGGATTCTGGGAAGAATTCCCCCTCAATGCAACCACAGTAGAGTGAGGGCCTGGGGTGTATCCTGACTGCAGGGGCGGGGGGTGCAATGCAGAATAGGAACACAGAATTCAGAACACACACACACCGTCTGTCCCTCCATTAGCCACACAGCATACACAGGGTTGCAAACTGCAGACAGGTAAATTGAGGCTGGTAGAGGGGGAGAAAGGACTTGGTCAAGTCAGAGGTGGAACAGAAATATGTTAAGGAGTGGGACTCCTAACCCAGTGATCTTTTAAGCCATCTGGAGTTCCCACACGCCTGCCACATAGGGCGGGGACCTTGTGGGCGCGCAAAAGCTCACCCCAGCTCTGGCCCAGGTGTTGGCCAGCACCTCGCCCACCTTCCCCAGAGACCTTCATGAAGGAAGGGAAGCATCAGGCTGAGTCCCTCTGAGCCCCCAGGAGGTCTGCTTTCCCACCCAGCCTCGTAAGTGTGAAGCTGGAGGGATGGAAGTGAGACTGTAGGAAGGACCTGTCTGCCTTAGAGCAGTGCCCAGCAGTATGAGAGTGTCTCAGAGTTGTCCAAAGAATGAATGGACAAACTGTGAGAGGTATGGGAGTCAGACTTTAGAAGGACTGGTTTAATGTTACTATACAGGTTAGGCTGTAAGCAGGACCAGCCTCAGAATGTCAGGTTTGGGAGGATGGGGAGACCTGAACTAAGGAGGGGTGAGGAGGATTTGGGGGGCACTCCAGGCCTTCGTGGGAGTCCACACTGCGGGGGATCAGCCTCCTCCAGGTCCCTGTGCATCAGGGGCAAAGACAGAGGTGTGTGGGTGTGAATTGACTGCAGGCAGAGGGAGAAAAGGGGAGAGACAGAGACCCAGGTGCCCAGAAACGGACAGACAGACATACACACACACACACACACCATACACATGGCGCACGGGGAAAGCTGGGCAGCTAGGACTCGGAGCCAGGGCTCAGGAAGCCCCTGCACTTGAAAACGCGGCACAGCCTGGGTTCCCGCAGCCCTGGGGCTCCGGGCGGCCGCGTTGGGCTCTTACCTGCCTTGCGGCCGGGCCGGTCCCTGCTGGGCCGCCGCGGTGGGCGCCTCCACCCGAGAAAGAGAGGGAGAAAGAGGAAGAGGAGCCGGGGACTGAGGGAGAACAGGGAGGAGGGAGGAGAGGGGATGCGAAGAGGGGAGCCGGGGAGGGGCCGGGAGGAGGGCGGCGCCCCGGGGAGGGGGCGGGCACAGCGCACTGGGGGGGGGGGGGGGAATCAGCGGAGAAGAGGGACTAGATTGAAGGAGGAAGAAGCCGCTGAGGGGAGGGGATGGGACAAGGGAACAGGGGAAAGGACCACCAGGAGGTGGAAGGGAGGAGATTAAGGAAGGATGGGGTGGGGACAGGGTAGCTATGGGTTGGAGGACAGGGACAGACTGGAGGAGGGAGGAGCTGAAGGAGGAGAGAGGGTGGGCACAGGGGATTTGGGGAAAGGACCACCAAAAGGAAGAGAGGCCAGAGGAAAAGAGGGAGGAGCCAGTGGAGGCTGGGCTTATGGGAGGGAGCGGAGGGGGGGCCGGAGCTCCAGTTAGGGAAACTGTTGAGGGAGGAGCCACTGAAAGGAGGCGTGGCCATAGACGCTGGGGGCGGAGCCACAGAGATGGGAGGAGGCCTTGCAAGAGAGCATGAGGAAAGAGCCCGCGAAGGGGAGTGGCCAAGGGAGCTAGGGGGCGGGGGAGGGGCCTGACAGTGGGGCTGCAGGTTGCCCCAGTATCGGGGTTCAGCACTAGATGCCAAGGACAGCGACGGAGGGCTCAAGTGCGTGCACCTGTGTCAACCCTGTTACCCCCCCCCCCCCATCACACATGGGCAGCATCTCGTCCATACATGGATGCAGTCATCGCTACAAATAGCCACAGGCTGGCAGACCTGGGGGAAGGGGGGCAGGAATGTTGGGCGGCAGCTCTTCCAAGTTCACAGGCTCAGTCTGCTCAGGGTACCTCACTGAAGGCAGAGAACTGTCACAGAGTGCCCAGGTACCATTGAGAACCACTCCCAAGGCCTCTACACTGCCAAAACACTCTCACAACCCTCAGAGGTAAACATTATTAGCTCCATTTTAACGTTTCAAAGGTGGGGAAACTGAGGCAGCAGGTATTAAGAGTGTAGTTCCAGACTGTATCCTTAAACCACTGCCACTGGGCTGAGGGCAAGGAAGGATCAAGGCCACCCAGTGTGATGAAACATATCTCTGATCCCAGCACTCAGGAGGCTGAGGCAGGAGGATGATTATGTTTCAAGCCATCCTCATAGCAAGACCTAGCTAAGAGAAAACAATTTGTGGGTGGGGGTTGAAGATGTGGATCAGTTGGTAGAATGGTTGCCTAACACGCACCAAGTAGTTTCATAGGGAAGTTGAGACAGGGTCTCATGTAGCTCAGTTCTGCCCTCAGTACTGTAAAAACTAGGCATGGTGGTGCATGCCTGCAATTCCAGCCATCAAGAGGCAGTGGTGGGAGGATCAGGGGTTGAATGTCACTCTTAGCTAGAGGGCAGCCTGAGCTACATGAGACCCTGTCTCAACTTCCCTATCAAACTGCAAAGTCCTGAGTCAAGTGTCCTAGGATTCAGAAGACAAGTTCCCAAGCCTACAGGTTGCTGAACACAAGTTGCACTCGTGCAAACACACACACCCGCAAGTGCATACATGCACACACCTCCTCAGAATGCATGCATCACACACCCTCACAATCCCTCTCCGGGCTCCCTCCCTCCACAGGACAGGTGGCAGGTGCTGGACGCTGGGCACAAAATGGTACAACAGGGAAAGAAGGCTGCCCCTGCCAGGAGGAGCCTGTGCCCACTGCCAGCTCTGGCGGGGCACTCTTGGGCCTGCTGCCAGGAGGGGGAAGTTCCAGCTCCCTGCAGCTTCCCACGCCTGGGTCTGGCTTCTAGAGCTTGGAGCCTGGGAAGTCAGTATCTGGTCTTCCAAGACCTGTAAGCTGCGCCTTTACAGTGAGGAGGGGGGGATCAGATTTACAGGTGGACGTCCTGATGGAGTAACTGGTACCTACCCAACACCACAAACACATGTGCCGAGGAAGCAGGCGTCACACTTAAGCCCCACCTTCAGACTAATTTGCTCTGAAACTCACCAACCCCACTGACTCTAATTCTATTCCTGGTCTGGGGTTGGGAAGGCAACAATCCTGCTGAGCTACCTTCTTCTGAGCCCTGGGCTGGAGACTCTGATGGAATCATCGGGTGATAACTGCCCTTGTCTCGCCCCTCCTGGGTTATTTAGCTGAGTTGTACCCAATACCCACCTTAGTATGGTATCTCTGTCTACACAGGTCTGACTTTGACACTCCCCACCACAGTCTATGCTCAATTCTATTCTGCTAGAAGCTAGCCTTGGCTCTTGCAGAGTCTAATCACTTATCGTTTGAGACCGCCCCCTGATTGGACCAGTAACACGATCACTTCTGTCTCTGGACTGAGGGAATCTGCAGACCCCTTACTGCATACTGGAGATACGGACCCTTCCTGGTCTAAGTTCTCACGTCCCCTTCACGGTCGATGTTACATCTGGGGTTCCTTACCCTTCCTAGGTGGAGACAATGAACCCAGAAGCCTCTGCTCAGGGTGGCCTCAGTGGCATTTGTCTGGCATTATTCTTCCCGAGTTTATTTCACCAGTGCAGAGAAAGGCTCCATAGCTCTCAAAACTGCAAACCAACCCCACCCCCTCCACGTAACTTCTTTCCTTTCCTTTCCTCTGGGTCTAATCTTGAACTCTCTCTGTAGAGTTCCCCTCCTCAGTTCTTTGGGAGTGAATTCAGCAGAACTTTGGCATACAGTAAGTGCTCAATAGATGCTTGCTGGACAAAGGAAACGAGGAAGTGAGGGCAGCTTTGTTGCTCTGCATGTATGAACAAAACCTGATGGGACTGCAAGGGGTTGCTGAGAGTGTCCCTCTTCAAATGGCTCAGAGAGGGGTGATCAGCTAAGGTCTCACACACACAGCAGAGTGGCTCAGGGACTCCCAGCATGCCCCTCTGGGGGAGTCTCAGGGGAGAAGTCCTTTTCTGAGATGCTTTCCCTGCATCAGTGACAGACATGAGATGCCCAGGCCTGAGAAGAGGGAGTGCTCAGGAGGCTAGGGGTTCCATAGGCCTGGGAGCCACTTTGTCTCCAAGGCCCTGCTGATGTTTCCTCTGCTCCACTTGACGACGAAGCCGGGTCAAGACCAGCTCAGAAGCCTGGATCAGGCTGTACTGTGGGAACAAAAGAAGAAGGGTAAGTGGAGACAGAGAGGGGCACACATCAGACCACACTGGGAGGTCAGAGGCTCAGCCACAGTGGGAGGGCAGAGAGGAGACCCAGGGTGTTGGCTGAGAATGGGTCTCCCAGATGGGAGTGGAGGCCAAACATGGCAGAGGGGTTTGGATTAATTTCCTGTGGGAGGGGCAAAGCTTAGACCTAAGTGGAAGGAACTGAGATTGGAAATTAGTAGAAGCGCTTGGACACATTGTGAGAGTAGCCGAAGCAGAACTGTGAGTTTTGGGATAACCTTGGCTACACAGCATGACTCAATCTCCCAGACCCACAAGCTGAGAGGACACAGCACAGTGGGTTTGACATCAAGTACCACACACATGAACAAATAAATGGGAAGAGAGGGAATGCAAAAGGAATTGGTGGAAGAGACAGATGGTGCAAAATGACAAAGGACATTAGAGACTATCTGAGGTTCCAGAGAAGCTGAGGTTAGACCACAGTGGGAAGGACAAAGGTGAGATGCTGGCAGCAAATGAGAGGTCAGCAGAGCAAGGACCACATAGAAGTGGAAAGCAGAAATTGAGGTTAGACCTCAGAGAAGCTCCCCTGGGGCTTGTGAGCTACCTACCAGCTGACAGGGTCCAGCAAGAGATTCCATTTTAGAATAAGAGAGAGGACAGCGGGGACACCCGAAATCCTTCTTGGTCTGTCTGTCTGTCTGTCTGTCTGTCTCTCTCACACACACACACATACACACACACACACACACACGTACACACACACATAAAATCCTCCCTGGTCTTACATACACAAACACCAAACACATACACACACACAGACCCCTGAAATCCTCCCTGGCCTTACATACACACACACACACACGTACATACACACACCTGAAATCCTCCCTAGCCTTACATATATAAGCAGGCTATGGGGGGGAAAGGGTAGGCTGTATCCAAACAGAGACACCTAGTAAACTGAAGGAGATCAGGACCAGCCCAATGGTGGGCAGATCTGCGGCTAGTCCTTGGGATGGCGTAGACACTGCAAGGCATGACTGTCCAACAGAATTTGGAAGAAATGCCTAGAGACTATGGTACTCAGGTAAGAGTAAAGATTAGAGCATGTAGCATTGCCAGATGGCATAGGTCTGTAGGCTCGGATACTCCAGGGGCTGAGGCAGGAGGACTATAAATTCAAGGCCTTCCTGGGCGAGAGTGAGAGCCTGTCTCAAAAAACCAAGAGCTAGGGGCGTGGCTCAGTGGTAGAGCCCCTGCCTAGAATCCCCCAGTGAGGGGCTGGGGTGTGGCTCAGTGGTAGAGCTTCTCCCCTACAAATAAATGAATAACAGTTAGTACCTGGAGGATGTGCACCCCTTTCAGGGATACCACGGCCAGCTCCCGCAGTCCATCCCCAGTCAGGTCCACATGGGCCATGGCAAGCAGGGGGCTGGCAAAAGTCCTTCGCCAGAGCAGACGGAAGCCTCTGCTGGCCTCAGGCACCCCGTGGTACTTGTAGCAGAGCAGCTCCTGTGGGCAGAGGGGTCAAGGTCATGCAGGCTGAGGATGTTCACTGCAGGAACAGATGACAGGCTCATCTCAAGACCCACCTGTCCATAGGTGGCCACCAGGACTTCTGGTTGTCCATCTAGGTCCACGTCAGTGACCAGGCCACAGAGGACACTGTCAAACTGGTCACTGCTGGGCAGGAGAAGTTGGTCTTCCAGGCCCTGGTTCAGAAGGTCCCTGAGGGTCCCCAATATGGGTGTAAGGGAAGGTCATATGGCAGGGCCCTGCTGCCTTTGGTTCCAGACTGTAGGTGATGCCCAACTGGCTTCCCCTGAGGTCCAGACCCACTTTTTTTGAGACATGCACCTTGGTTTTAAAGTAAGAAACTCTGAAGTCCCTACACAGGGCCAACCTGTCACTCCAGTGGATGGCCTCATGTTCATCCTGTGGATTCCATCCTGGATGCCCCACTGTGCTCCCCCATAGTGGCTCCTGGAGACACAGTGCCCTGGTCCTTCACCCAAGTGCTTGGTGCTTATAGAGCACGGAGCACTCTGTACTTGCGTTGATATTTTCACTCTCAACCCAGAGTGTGTCAGAGCTGGGCGGAGCTAGCTCATAGGAGCCGATGATGGGAGTGTGTGTGTGTGTACACGTTTGCACTTGAGTGAGGGGGAAGGTGGAGTGGGAGAGTGGGGGTGTGGGGGCTGGGGACGTAGTTTAGTTGGTAGACTGTAGCATGAATGAAGCCCTGGGTTTAATCCAGCATGGTGGTGCATGCCTGCAATCCCAGCAGAGGTAGAGGCAGGGAAACTGAGAGTTCAGTCATTCTTAGCAGCGTAGTTGGAGGGCAGCCTTGACTTCATGAGATACTGTCTCCCCTCATCCCCAGCACACACAAAGCTGACTGTCTATTTTAGCATTACAATGTCACAATTTTGAGTGGCTTAAAATCCAAGATGGTGGGAGCAGTGACCCCACGGAAATTGCCAAGGACTACATGTCTAGGCCTTCACACCTGAGCGTCTGCTGGCACCTCTGGTCCACTCATGCCAGGGGTATGAGTTTCTCTAAGGGTAGGAAGACATAACCACCCTTAGCAAATTCTCTACAAGATCCAGATGTGCACTCACCTCTTCCCTGATCACAGAATTTCTGATCCTAACCACCCCAAAGGATTGACAAGGTTAGACCACACCACATAGATATGAGGTTGAACTACACCAGAAGCCTCAGGTGCCCTTACCAGTACACCACAGCTGGCTCTAACATGCTGGCAACAAGCAGACTGTATCCTTCCTGCTGTGGGTTGTCCTCGGTTGCTAGGGAAGAGATAGGAGTCGGAGAGCCTATGGGGACAGGCTCTTCCTTTTCCCTTTCCCTCCTGCAGTGAAGAGTGAAGCTAGACCTCAGGACAAAGATTAGAGGTTAGACTAAGAAATGACTGTGGCCAGACATTATACAGGTGTTAGATGACTATTTAAAAAAATGCAAAAAGGCTAAGGTTAGAACACAATAGGAGAGACAAAGGTTAGATTAGAGTTGAAGTCTAAGGTTAGACCACACTGAGGATGGGGGAACCCTGTTTAGAAGGCACAGGGCAGACTGTCAATATAGGACAGACCAAGACTGATCAAGGAACAGGAAGAAACTAGCACCTGGGGATGGGGTGAGACCATGATTGACAGAAGAGTTGTCAGTCCAGAGGGAGTGAGAAGGCTGGGGTGGGGTGAGTCAGTGTAAGATAACATGAGAAATGAAGGCTTAGACCACTAAGGGAATGGTGAACGTAGGGACAAAGCTCAAGGCGAGAACACAATGGGAAGAATGAGGTTGGATGCTAAAAGAAATGATGGGAGTCCAATCTGTGGCACAGCTTATGGGTTGGAGGGGGACAGGGGGAGCATGAGTGTGGGTTCCGAGGGTGGGGACAGCTGAGTCTGCAGAGCCCACTCTCCAGATTCCAGGCTGAGAGCAAAGAGCTCACCATCGGGGCTGGAGAGGCGGAACACGATCACTCGGGAGATGGGCCCATCCTGCAGGATTGTCCATGTCTGCAAAATCTCTGCGTGGAGAGCAGGGAGGGACTCAGGAACCTGTCCCCATTCCTGGGTTTGTCCCCGCCCCAGGCCTGACCCTCACCTTGATTCTTCTGGTCAACGTGAGCCACACGCACATAGCCACTCTGGCAGCCCAGAGCTGAGAGCCGCCGAGACGAGCCAGGCAGGTTGTGGACATCGAGCCACAGGACACTGGCGAGAGGGTGATGGATGGGTGGACAGATGGGTAGACAGCCCAGAGCCCCAGCCCGATTTCTGCTTCCCAGGAGCACCCATCCTGAAGCATCGGGACCCTGCAGCCTGATACTCTAAGGGGCCAGGCATTGCCACAAATGCTCACTGAGCCCCATTCCGCAACCAGAGAACATGCTACCTAGCTGCATTTTTTTTTAAAAGGTAGGGTCTCACACAGACCAAGCTAGCTTCAAAGTCATGACACAGTCAAGGATGAATTTGAACCCTGATCCTCCTCTCCCTACCACCTGAAGGCTGAGGTTACAGGTGTGTACTATTGTGCCTGGATTTTATGGTGCTCCAGGTTATGCAATGGAACCGAGGGCTTTTGAGCACGCTAGGTAAATATTCTACCAACGGAGTGACACCCCAACATGCTTCCTAGTTTCTCTAAGGTCGCCTCTACTGTGTATTGTACTAGGTGGCAGCCTGCTCAACCAGGCTTCTCTGCAGTCAGGGTTCTGGGCCCTTGTTTGGGTGCACACTGGGTGATTGGGAAGGGTCCCCTCCTACCTACTGGTCAGGTTCGTGAGCTCTGGGAAGAGGTTTTCCACGGGCTGCTCCTCAAACTGGTGTAGCTCCTCACTCTGGGGGAACGAGAGCCGGGCTCTGAGTGAGTCATCAGGCTCCTGCACACAGCCCACCACCGCAGCGGGGATTCCCTACCGGCCTGTGCCCGGCCTGCCCGCCTCACCTCCTTGTAGAGATGGATGGCTGGGTCATTCCCGCTCAGGAGAAAGACAGTCTCCAGTTGGCTCCCAACCTGGACTCTGAAAGCAGAGAAATCTACTGGGACGTGTGTGGGGTTGAATTCCTCCAAGGATTTAGAAATGCCACTGTCAATTTATTTTGAGATACGGTTTCATGTGCCCCAGGCTGGTGTTGAACTCATGGTGTAGTTATAGCTGACCTTGAACACCTGATCTTCCCACCTGCACTTCCCACACCCAGACTGAATAAAAATACAAAACCCAATAACCTTTGCTGGCAAGAACCCTACCATTCAGAGACTCAGTTGAGAGCCGCATGACCTAGTACTCTGCAGACTATGTACGCCAACCCTTGAGTTCATGACTTTGAGATCTCAGAGCAGCCAGCGCAGGTGCTGGGAGCCTGCTGACAGACCCTGACTGCTAGAAGCCTCACTCCAGGAATAGGAGAGGGTCCTCAAGAATGAGTCTGCAAAATCTCGCCGTAAGGGTCGATGAGATGGTTCATTGGGTAAAGGCAACTGCCACCATTCGGGATGGCCTAGATTCGATCCCCAGGACCACAAAGAGGAAGGAGAGCCCTGACTCTTGATGGCTGTTCTCGGACTTCCACCCGCATGCTGTGGGACCCTCTTGCAAACAAGTAAATATAAAGGAATCTATCTCAGGGCTCAGAAGGCAGAGGTAGATGGATCTCTGTGAGTTCAAGCCATCCTGATTTACACAGTGAGTTCCAAGACAGCCAGGGCACAAAGTCAAAACAAAAACCCAGTGAACAAATAGGAACAGAGAGCCACACCACCAGAACCTCTTCCCTCTGGAACCCCATGATTCTGAAGCCCTATTTCTTGTCTCCTCTGCTAGACCAGAACTGTTAGAAATCTCTACCCTGACTATCTTGAATCATGCAAAGCCCGGCATCTTGAATCTTCTAGATTCCAAATCTGGCAGGGTAATGCTTGTCTGAAATCCCAGCACTGGGAAGGCTGAAGTAGGAGAATTTCAAGTCCAAGGCTGGCCTGGGCTACACATTGAGGCTTTGATTCATAATAAGGTATTCACATACATGCATGCACACCAGTATATACTTGCACAAGCACATGCATGCACCCCTTATCCCCCCAAAAACTTCATTTTTATAATTCTAACTTGCTAGACCAGAGATCTGGCCAATAGGACCTATAGACCAAATCCAACCCACCCACTAAGTGCTTTTTGTAAATAAAGTTTTATTGGCATAACCCCAGCCATTCATCCACAGTGTCCTGCTGTTTGTTTGCTCCAGTGACAGAACTGTGCAGCTGTGATACTAATTGTCTGACCCTCCAAACTTAGCATTTACTAACTGGGCTTTGACAGAAAAAAACTTGTAAAAAAAAATGTTGCCAATCCTAGTGGATTTCTGAAGTCCTGGAGTAGAATCCACATGCTCTGGGATTCTAAATGGGAACCTAAATATTCTAGATGTTCTGTAGTCTACCTCCTTACAAGTCCGTCTACAGATTCTCAGGAGCTGTTGGGTTTGATAGAATCTTTTTTTGAGACAGGGTCTATATAACTCAGGCTAGCTTTAAACTCATTATGCAGCCCAAGATGACCTTGAACAAAATCTGATCCTTCTGTCCCCATCTCCTGAATGCTGGAACCAGAGGCATGCACCGACCATGACTGGCTTATATGGTGCTGGGGATGGAACCTAGAGTTTTGTGTGTGCTAGGCAAGTGTTCAGCTGCCTGAGCTTCATCCCTCGTCTTCAACTGCACCTTTTAAGTCTGGAGACCTCAGGGCTTATGACTCTTGAGAATGATCCCAGGTCAGGGAAGTAGAGATCCACAGCCTTTGGAGTTGAGTTCTAGGTGCTCAATTAACTCTCTGACATGAGCTACCTGACAGGTGACAATGTGGTGGCTCTCTAGTCATCCTGGCTGCATTCACTCCAAAAAGCACCATCAGAACCAGACTGGTGATGGCAGGTATATGGGTTCCAGTCTGCTATCGAACTATGAAACCCCACTTCTTGATTATACTTTCCATCACTTCTTGGGCCCCTAACAATACCTGTTTCCACCCAACCCTTAGTCTGTTAAAACTCTTTTGTCTTTCAGATAGGGCAAAAGCCTCAGAGGAAGGTGGGAAAGCAGGGGTGCCCATGGTCACTCACTCTGCGTGGCACAGCTGGAAAGGGGTGAACTGGAGTTCCAAATTCAGGCAGCTCTCTGCAGAAAGGACACAAGCTGAACCCAGAAGCACCTGCCAGCCCAGTTCACCCTCTCCCCAAGGCTCTACTCACCTGCAATAGAGTCCAGGTTGTATTCTGAGCCAGGTTCATAGTCACAGTAAATGTTAAGAAAAGGACTGCCCTTGTCTCCTGAGTCCTAGGGGTGGAAACTGCCCTCAGGAGAGGTAGAGGAGGTGAGAGGCATTTGGAGCAGATTCAGGGCACTCGGGGGAGACTTGGTGGGATTCACTGTGACTAAGGAAGAGGGTGTGGACAGGTGGAGGGCGCTGTGGTACCTTTATAAATGTGATGCCCACAACCAGTCCTCGCTTTGGGGGTGACTTGTTGAAAGTGTCGATGGAGACGATCTCAGCATCCACTACGAGAGGAGTTCAAAGTTCACCGATCGCTCCTGAATCACACTGACTTCCTACATTGTAGTAAAACCTTTGGGTCTGCGAGAGTCTTAACCACTTTTAATTACCGTGACCTATGATCACCAAGTACCAGGCTGTTAACCTTTATATTTGCGGAATCCTGGACCCTAATTACTTCAGACCCTGACGACCCCTGTATCGTAACCTAATGATTACCAGGGTTTAGTTTAGTTTTTTTTTTTTCTCTTTTTCTTTCTTTTTTTTTCCCCTCTCTTGAGACAGGGTAACTCTGTGTAGCCCTGGCTGTCCTGGAACTTGTTCTGTAAACAAGGCTGGCCTCGAACTCAGAGATCTGACTGCCTCTGCCTCCTGAGTGCTGGGATTAAAGGCGTGTGTCACTACCGCTGGGCTTTTGATTACCAGTTTTAACCCTGACCTCGCATCACAGTGACCAAAGACAGTCTCAGACTCCCCTGCAACACCAGACTCCAGTCCCGCCCCCGACACCACAGCGCCACGCACCGGGGATATAGTTGAATTGCAGTTCTTTGGCCACAGGCCTGATTTTCTGTCGGAGGTCTTGGTAGCGGAAGCCGAGGACCTTGCCTTTAAGTGTGGCGGCTAGCAACTCCCCACGACCGTCTGCTCCTCCTGCAAGCCCGTACACGTTGCTCTGCGACGAGAACCGTGTGAAGCTGTCCTCGCGGAGTGGACAGGGTCCCGCCGCCACGGCCGCCTCCCCCATCCCGATCTTCCGTGGTTAGTCCCAGCTGGCTTGTTGCTCCCCAACCTGCCCGGGAACTGCCACTCGCGCACACTGATGACGTCAAGAAGCCGCCATCGCTGCCCTCTCCTAAGCGGGAGCCCGGCTTCCTTCCTGGGCGGCCCAGACAACGTTGTCTTTCTGCGCCTGCGTGCTCTGTTTTCTCCCCATTTCCTAGCTAAGGAAAGGCTCTTATAGGATTTGACATGGGAGAAGGGAACCGCTTCTGGCCATTTTTGTAAGCGTTGTGGAAAATAGAATAAGAATCACCATGATCATCACCGTGTGTGTGTGTGTGTGTGTGAGTGTGTGTGAGTGAGGTGTACGTCTGTGATTCCAGCACTTGGAAAGTGGAGGCAGGTGGATCAGGAGTTCAAGATCATTCTCTGCTACATAGAGTTTGAGGCCCGCTTTGAGTATATAGGTAGTTTCCAGGCCAGCCTGCCTACATGAGACACCCCCATCCTCCTCCTCCCTCCCTCCCTCCCTGTCTCTCTCTCTCTCTCTCTCTCTCTCTCTCTCTCTCACACACACACACACACACACACACACACCTAAAAATATACTCACTCTCCAACAAAAAGTACCAGAACAAAAGAACAATAAAACCTAATTATAACCCTTTTGTATAAGTACATTTCATCTGTCAATTTAATTAAAACTCATAATCAAGCTGAGGCTGAAGGACATACCTTGTCTTTTTTCTTTTTAGAGACAGGATCTTGCTTCACAGCCCTGACTGAACCTGTAATTTACAGATCAGGTTGGGCTCAAACTTGTGACAATCTTCTTACCTCTGTCTGCTGAGTGCTGAGAGCATAAACACATCTTTCTAAAGTAGGTACTCTTACTATTTATTCATCTTTACCATTTGTGTACCGTGTCATGTGATCAGAGAACAGCTGTGGGAGTCAGTTCTCTCCATTATGTGAGTCCCAAGCATTAAACTCAGGTAATCAAGCTTGGTGGCAAGTGCCTTTACCTGCTGAGCCACCTAGCTGGCCCTAAGGTACTCTTTTTGTTGTTGTTTTTTTCCTTGAGACAGGGTTTCTCTGTGCAACAGTCCTAGTTGTCCTGGAACTAGCTCTTGTAGACTAGGCTGGCCTCGAACTCACAGAGATCCACCTGCCTCTGCCTCTTGAGTGCTGGGATTAAAAGTGTGCGCCACCAACGCTCGGTGAGGTAAGTAAGTTCTTAAGAGCACACAGATAGTAAGCAGCAGCTAGGATTAAACCCAAATAAATTATAACTTCATACTTAAGCAACATCACCTTTAAAACAGTAAAGTGTACCTTTTGTTTTGTTTTCTTGTTAGTTTCAAGACAGGGTTTCTCTGTGTAGCTTTGGAGCCTGTCCTGGAACTAGCTCTTGTAGGTCAGGTTGGCCTCGAACTCAGAGATCCACCTGTCTCTGCCTCTAAGTGCTGGGATTAAAGGCGTGCGCCACTACCACCTGGTGTAAAGTGTACTCTGATCCCAGGTGAAAGATTAACCTATCCATCCCGATGGCAGATGGATCACCTGCTTTATTGAACATTCATAGTGAGTCTGCAGAACCATTCAGACTACACCTGACCATCACACCCTTTACAGAGGCCCTCACAAATTCCTCACCAGAACTATGCAGAGGCTTTACAGAGGATGAGCCCAAAGCCCAAGGAGAGCAGGGATGCTGTTCGATGATGGAGAAGAGTTGCAAGCCAAATGCTCCCAATTTTGAGGCCTTCAGAGGGCCTGGATTTGCAACTTCATTGTCACAATCAAACCTCAGCACCTGGAATACATGGCCCGATACAAAGCAGGCTCAGTAAACATGTTTTAAAAAACCCCGCCAACTATGGGCCAGGAAGATGGCTCAGATGTTAAAGGTGTTTGCGATGCAAGCCTCACAACAACCCAAGTTGAATGCGTGGAATCCAGATTGAAAAGAAGCCAGTCAAGGGGGTGCATATCTGTAACCCAGGACTCCTTTGGAGTGGTGGAGCTGGAAGCTCATTGCCCAGTTACCTTGGAGTACTCAGCACAGCATAAAGACCCTGACTTGCCCACATCTTTAATTCCAGTATGTAGAACATGGAGGCCAGCTTGGAATACAGCTAAAGTTACATAGTAACTTGTTTTGAGACCCTGTTTCAAAACAATACAAAGCAAAAAGACCCTGCTTCAACAAAGAGGAAAGAGGGTTGACCGACAATGTCCTTTAACCCCCACAAGAGGGCCATGGCACCTGTGTATACATGTATTTAGATACCTCCAACTATGTGGTAGGACCTTGGCCAATGTTGTTAGTACTGAGACCTTATATGGGCAGTCTTCAGAGGTAGTGTGGATATGGAGAAGCTGGAGCATCCCAGCCGCCTCGTTTAGTGAGGAAGAGGCTCCTGGCAGGTGGGCCTAGTACTGTGCACCCAGCAGCTGTTTTCTGAATCACCCAGAGTGAATGGGATGTGAAGGTGGCATGGCCTCAAGTTTTGTGTTTATGTGTATGTAATGAGTGCATCATGTACAGTTCACATACATGGGAAGATGGGATATCAGTTATCTTGATCTATTACTCACAGTCCTTTGAGACAGGGTCTCTTGCTGAACCTGATGCCTATGCTTCTGGCTACTAAGCTCCAGCAATCCTGTCAGTGCCCCAACTTCCTGGGTTACAGGTACGTGCGATCATTCCAGTTTGTTGTTTTTTAGACAGGGTTTTGCTGTGTAGCCCTGGCTGTCCTGGAACTCATTCTATAGACCAGGCTGTCCTTGAACTCACATAGATCCACCTGCCTCTGCCTCCTGAGTGCTGGAACTAAGGGTGTGCACCACCATGCTCAGCCATGCCAGTGCTTTTTAACGTGGATGCGTTAAGTGCTTTTACCCACTGAGCCATCTCTCCAAGCTGTGCAGTTTATTCTCATCAGGCTGTTTCTGACTCAAGTGACAATTTATAATCTATGTTCACTTAATTTCAAACCCTACTGTGTATCTGAGCCACTTATGAAGCTTCTAAAACACCAGAAGGGTGGTGACTTTGATCTAAGCACAGAGCAGCAGGATGTGGCCCTGGCTTGTAGATGGGTCAGTGGTTTGGAAGCAGAGAAGGGCTGAGACTCGGACTTAGGAATGGACAGCCGATTCTCACAAGTCTCCTTAGCAATGCTTATGGTGGACAATGAATGGTCAGTCTCCAGCCTCAGATTTCTCTAGAGCTGAGGACCACTCAGTTATCAACTGACCGAAGTTGATAGTTGAGCAGAGCAGGATGTCTGGAAGGCCAACATTTTCTACTGGTCCTGCTTTGGCCAGGGCAATCCCAAAGGGAAGGACCCAGCCCTGGCAGACCCAAAGTGGGGGTGGAGTGGGTATGAGGCTCCCACCATCTCTCCTGGCAGTGTAGAAGGAGGGGAGTGGGGAGAGCAATCAGGGCCCGCCCACAGCTTACAGACTGCATGTCAGTCTGCTCTTTAACGGAGTCTGAAGGTCAGCTGGAGAAACCACTAACTCCCCACTGGACAGCCAGGGCCCGAGGGGAACGACACCACGGCAAAAGGGACACCAGAAGAGACTCATGCAAAAGTGGCAGGTTTTATTGTCCTTTTTGGGCCAGCTGCAGCTTCAGGTCGATAGACAGACCTGGATGCAGGGAAAAAAGCAGGCGTAGGGCAGGGCCCAGGTAACCCTGTTGAGTTCCAAGGCTGGATCTAACCTGAGAGGCTGCCATTGTAGGGGGGCAGGGGAAGGCTCCAGGGGTAGAGGTCACCACCAGCCAGGAAAAGCAAGTCTCAGGGCTACCTGTGTTCTTATCTCTGTTGGGGGACAGGGTAGGAAAGATAGAAAAAGCCTTAGCACACAGCTGGTAAGAAGATGGGACCGGATGCTTGACCCCAGGTTCCTGCCACACACAGAGAGGTCTGTATTGGAGATTCTGTCCAGGTGGTTTCCAGGGCAGGAGGACACCTTTGGGGGCTTAAATAAATGGCAGGGTGAGGGATGCAACGGGCACAGGGTGATCATCCAGCCAGCAGAGCCTGCCTGGTGCCCTGGAGGATGTGGCCCGCGTTGCACCCACTCGGCCTTCAAACTCCTGGTAGGAGGTATTGGGCCCCACCTCTCTACTGACAGATGGGTGGAAGGCAGTGGCTGGAGGCCTAGCGCAGGTCCTCCTCGTCACCCTGGATGGTCTTCTTGATGCGCAGCAGCATGGTGGTGAGCCACTGGTCCAGCCTTGAGATGGAGTCATATTCCTTCACCTGTAACACAGGGAGGGTGATCCATGACACTCTCTACTCCTTCCTGGCACCCTCCCTGACCCCAGTTCCAAGGTTTCCAAGAGGGTACCCTGTCTTCTTGGTCTGCAAAGCATGGAGCATGAGCGGGCAGTAAAGATTTTGTAGTTTAAAAGTCCCTCCCAGCATCTTGGCTTTGTGGGTGGAACTGAGGCCTGAAGCCATGAAAACACTGGTGGGAAATGGCCAGTCTGACCTCTTCCCTCAGGGACCTAAATGACTGGGGGCACCCAGTGAGAGATGTCACTGACAAGACTGGCTAGAGAGCCAGGATAGGACATAATTGGAAACAAATAGCTTTCCAGAATGTTCAGAGCAGAGTGGGAGTGGGACCCGATCCTCCAAGGCAGCTGGGTGCTGAGGAGCAGAGAAAGAGTTTAGATAGCCTCGCTGCCCCCAGGGGCTCTGAGGAATTATGAAAACCTTGATTTGGGGGGCGGAGATGGACTGTAATCCCAAAGGATCGGGGCAAGTACTGGACTCTCCTCAGCTTTTGTGCCACTATCTATAAAGTGGGGCAAACACAGAGTGTTCCAGGGTGAGTCACAGGGAGGGAAACTACAGCCAGGACCTAGGGTCTAGAGCTCAAGTAGGGCAGGATTTATGAGAACACATTGAAGATCCACCAGTCAGAACCCCTGTGCCAGTCACTCACCGATTCTGTGTAACTGTCCACATTCTGTTCCTCATGGGCTTCCAGCAGCTTCTGCAAACAGAGTCAGGGTCAGCTAGACCCAGCAGATGCTGGGGGGGGGGGGGCGCAGGCTCCTGACCACACCCACTTCCCTCTGCTGT